TGGGACAGTGCAAGTCGATGGAATTCCAGCACCTCCCTGCACACAAGTTCTTAGAAGAAGGGGAATCCTATTTAACACTGGCTGTGGAAGTGGCCCTGATCGGGCTGGGACAGCAGCGGATCATGCCCGATGGGCTGTACACCCAAGAAAAGGTTTGCCGAAATGAGGAGCAGCTCATTTCTAAGCTTCAGGAAATTGAATTGGATGACACACTGGTGAAAATTTTTCGCAAGCAAGCAGTCTTCCTATTAGAAGGTAGTTCGATAAAGATGTTTTCCCCTTCTTTATCCAATTTCATTGATTTGCTAGTATTTCTGAAGTCAGGACTACGGTTAGCTGTCCTGATGGGTATGATAACTGAATGTTAAAGGCATGTTGGCTGTTCCCAAGGCGGTATCACTTAATAAAAAGGTACAGATGTTTGGATTTGTGTCATTTTATTTGGGTGGGTCTACAGGAGAGGCCGTTAGAAGTCAACTCCATTGAATGCCACAAGCTTTTGAAAAGGACCTGTTGTCTTCCTGAGCTACTTAGTGAGCTACTGCCGGGAGCCATGTACCCATTTGCTTGATCAGTTAAATAATAAAATCGAAATTGTTTGGCACGCCTCTGCATGACTGGCTGTTCCTCATCTGGAATGATTTGAAGATGTCGTTTGCACACACTGACAAATACAGAGGGCTACAGGAGCAAATTTCCACTGCATGGCCAGAGTATTCCAGAGTGTTCTTTAAACATAGAATCGCAAAGTAAGATGTTCAGAGAAGTTCTAAGACAAAGTCTAATTTTCTTTTGGTAAGGTCAGGATTTAAAGGGCCTAACAAATTTTGGCTGGCATTATTTTCCAGAGGTTTTATGACCCTCAAAAAAATGGAATTGTTACCGTAATTCTCTTAATCCTTTTTGTAAATTCATATGTAATTGATGAAATTACTTGTAGCTCTCAAGTACATACATGTTGTTACAGGATTGTCCACATGATTGATAGGCTTAGACAGGGTTACATATGAGGAAGGGATTTAGTGGGGAGGGCCTTTAAAACCTCCTTCTTTGTTCCAAACTGAAACTATATAAACGAAAATATTTTGTTCAATTATATTTTGCATTCATAAATTTTAGAAATGCAGCTTGAAAGGAAACTTCATTTTTAGCATATTTCATTTTGGTAAAAATTCCAATGAACTTTAGAATGACTGCCTTAAATTCTTTGTTTTCCCTTCTGGGTATAGAAACTCCTTCTGACCAATTTCAACAGTGATCTTGCATCTTTAGTTACAGTTTTCTTTCCCTCTCGGCCCATGTGATTTCTTTTGAAGTAAACGGTACCGTCCATCACAAACCTTTTTTACTGCTCTCCGTCACTGGCCTCTACTGTCCAGTTTTTAGTGTCCATTCTACTGAGTGGCAGGACAGGGATGCGTGTTTTCAGAGATTCACAGTGTCTCCTGTCTGTCTACCAGGGGCCGTATTCAGTGTCTTCATGCCCACTACTCATGAGTACATTTCGACGTGTCTCGAGTCTCTGGCTAGTCCCTTCTTCCCCATTCAGTGTGTTTGGAGTACAGGGCTCATCCCCATACTCTCTCCTCCTGGCCTGGCAGGCCCCGGGTGCAGGCAGGAGGCAGTCCCTAGAGAAGGCGAGGGGCCGTTTCTGGGCACTCCAGAGGAGAAGACCTCCCTGTGTGCTCGCAGCACCAGGCCACAAGTTTTCTTATGCAAGGACACGCTTTACTAATCTCTAAGAAGCAATGGCTCAGCTGACCCTGGGTCAACGCTGTTTAGAGTTCGCCTCTCGTGGCCGTGGTGGCAGCTGGTGGCGGAGTGGAAAGGCACCTCCGGAGAAACTTGCTGCCCAATTCCAGTTTGTCATTGTGCAGTCCTCCAAGGACACGGATTATTAATCCACAAATAAGTTTGTGACTTTACTGGTGCTTTGTCCTGCATTTCACTAAGTGTTTCACTTGTTGGGACATGTCTACCAAGGTGCTGATGATGCAGTTGAACCTGGGTGGGACCTATTAAGTACAAAGACCTAGAGGATTCAAAATAATTGGTGGAAAAGTGGAATTTTTTTCCCACGAACTTTTTGAAGCCTCCCTCGTAGGCAACTTCATGGTTTAAAGGTAAACACTGAAAGGAAATACTGAAGCAATGAAGAATATAATCTATTAATTGCTCGGTAAATAAAGGAGTGTTAGCCACCATTAAATAATAGTTAGAATATTTTAAAATGTCTCAAGGGAAAAGATTCATAGATCTGGCAAAGTTAGAAATCTAGGGTGGGTTTTCATTTACTTGGGTTTAAAAAGATTATAATGAGTTGTTTAGATGATTTTTGAAAAGTACTTAAGTAGTTAATAGTTCAAAAATAGTCTGAAATATATCGAATTTTAAAATCACCTCCATTCAAATGATCTAGAAAGCACCACACTCGTCCTTTGTGCAGTTCATTCACCCCTCCGACTGCGTCTGAGGGACTTGCCGTCTAACGTCTCCCTCAGACACTTTCCTCACGGAGAACACACACATCCTGTCCTTGGAGTAGCCGTGTCATGGTTCATAATTCTAGAAATCATGAAACAGATGTTACCCAAAGGTGACATGGAAACTAATTTATTAAACACTTTACAGTAGCGAAACTTCCAAGTACCTCAGTGGAAGGTGGTTGAACTTACCACTGTGGTTTCCTCTCAGAAATTATTTTGAAAGGCCCTTTTGCCCTTCTAAGTGTTCAGAGCTCGCAAGGGGGAAGTCAGCACTGCCACCATGCCTTATAATCCACTAAGAAATGAGGTTTGACAGCTTACATGTAATTTAGCTTCAGAAATTGGCCTTCAGGTGCCCAAAGTGTGGTGGGTTCCCAGTTACTCTAAGTGTTTTCTTTTGTCTATGGCGAGGGTAACATGATAACTCCTCTGTTATTATTCATCACTTTCCGGGAATCAACATATGCCTGTGTTTCTGCCTGATGAAAGGGACCCTGCTGAATGTCTCTGTGATGAGCACTGCGGTGCAGGGTCCCCTTCCCCGCCCCCTACACACACACACACACACACACACACACACACACACACACACACACACACGCGCTTTTCATCCCAGCCCTCCAGGCAGCGCGTGCGCTGGAACCTGGAGCCTCCCAGCTCTGCCCTCAGCCTGCTGGGGTCTGAGGCCAGGGCCAGAGCTGCGGAGTCTCTGGGCCTTGGGAAAGTGGGTGCTGAGCGGCCACACATTTAGAAAGGGAGGTTCCTCCAGCTCAAAGAGGTGTGATGCTTGGCTGAGTTTCTTTCTCACGCAAACAATGGTGATGTACAAAAGCTGGGCCCAGCCAGCCGTGGTTCCCACTGGAGCCGCATTACGATGGCAGGGTGCTGCTGAAGTGAAGACGCACTGGATTTTGTACCCGAAGAGTTGCCTTCCTTTCTGCTTTGTCTAAGCTAGATGAACTTGTGGACGCTATACCTTGATGTCTAAAATTTTAAGACTTACTTTTCAAGAAGTGTTAGTTCATTTTGTAGGAATTTTAAAATGTGTTTGCTCTCTTCCCACAGCCGGACCATATAGTGGTTTAGGCGAAGTCATCCACCGGGAGAGCGTTCCAATGCACACATTTGCCAAGTCTCTCTTCACCTCGCTCCTACCTCATGATGCTGAATTGGCATACAAAATTGCACTGAGAGCAATGCGGTACGTATTCACAGCCCAGCTGGGCAGAGGCCGTCCGCATTCCCCACTGGGAAGATGGCTTTTAACTGATTTCTTCATTCATGTTTCTTGTAGGCAGCAGGAAGTTCCCCATTTCTGCTTCTTGGATGGCTGTCATGTGCTGTGTTGGTTGGCTGGGTTTGGTTCTGACTTAAAGAAAGGGAAGAACTGCACCCTGGGCTGCTGTCCTACCCACGCTCACCATGGCTTTCCCTTGTTGCTTCTTAAAGCCAGAATGTAGACCAATTTCAGCTCCTTTTAATCACCAGGCAGCAGCAATGGAACGGTTGGGACCATACTTGTGTACACTTTCAAAATAAGGGGAGGGGGAGATTAAATCCACTCAACTTAGTGTAAGGGGGGGGGGTGTGTTCCGTCACTCCTGCTGCAATTCCACATCCCACCAATAGAGCAGGAGGGCCCTGGGGTCCCCCAGAGCCCCCTTGTGATGAGCGTGTGGACAGGAGAAGGGGGGCCATGCTCACCGTGGTGAGGAGACCCTTCCCATCGTCGGCCAGGTGGGCTCCGCTCCGCCCCAGCACGTGCTCGCCGCTACTGTCCACCCCCTTGCTTTTTGCTTTCCTCGAGTCATTTTACCAAGTCTTTGAATTTAAGGGACTATTTTGTAATGAGTCACGCTTTTGTAGTTTTCTGTCTCACCTGTAATTTTACAAGCAGCAAGAATCTGAAGTAACAGGTACCTTTTCGTAAACATTAGGGCTGGTTTCTGTTTTGTTTTCGTTTTTTAAGTTAGTAATGTATCCATACATTTCTAAGAGAAGATGCGATTGGACCCCATGATTTAGGGCCCTTGATGAGTCAGCGGGATGAGTGCAGCCCTCCCCGGACCCGTGAGGTCCCCAGGAGTCAGACTGAACTCAGGGGCAGCTGTTGGTCATAGTCATGTCCAGATGAGCTGTGTGTAGCCTTCAGACTTGAGTCTGGGCCGGAGTTGTTTGACCCCTTAAGAAGCTTTTTTCCATTGGCACCAAGAGACCACATGGACTGATTACAGAAGCCTTACAAGTCATACCCTTTGTCTGTTTGTTTGTTTTTTAATACAAAAACATAATAATGAACATGAAGCCAAATCCCCCCCACCCCAATGACTTTATACCACTCGCTGTGTTTTAGTACCCCATTCTGTAGTAACAGATTCCGCGGCCTGTGTTTTGGAAAAATGACGTGAATGTTGCCTGTACTCACGCTAGTCGGGAGCGTTGTGCCCTGTTGTAAAGGGAAGGACGTTGATGTTCTGGTGCCACCAGGTGGACTTTCAAGCAGCAGAAAGGTTTCTCCGTGCCTCTGGCTTAGTTAAAGGTATCTTATCCTGTGGCGAAGCTTGCTTTCCTGACCACCAGAAGCTCATTGTTAGCAATCCCTGGTTGCTGCCAAGGCCGATTCTCCATGGGGGCGATAGAGCAGGCCACAGGGAACACCCTTCCTGGTCTCTCCACTGTTAGCCAGCCCCATCCCAGCTAGACGCCCATTTCGAGCTGCCATGGGAGGGGGTGAGGTGACCAGCAGAGCTTCTCAAGGCAGCCAGGGAGAAAGGTGGGGAAAGAGACCCAGCTGGCTTGCTCCCCATCCTTCCAAATGGGGACGCGGAACAAGGTTGCCTGTAGCACTTGGCTTCTCTTCTTCCTGGGCATGTTGACTGATTTTCTCTACTGCCTTGATGGCCAAATGTGCCTGTAAATGCAGAAACATTTAGCGTTATTTTTAAAAAGCTAAATAACGACTGTGCCAAAATCCTTGTTACATAATTGCCCACCTTACTGTCCTCTAATGGGAGTCATCCTTCCTCCTTAGATAAAAGGAGAAAAGGCAGTGGGGCCCCTGGCTTAGCAGCACAATAACTGCTTGTGGGTGAGCCCGGGGCCTCGTTGCCAGACCCAGCAGCTCACTCCCAGCTCTTAGCATGTGGTCCCTGATCTGGTCTGGTTGGCGTTTTGATGAGTGTCACAGGAGTTGCTTCCGGGGTCTTTTCTCCCATCATCTCGTTGCCTGGAATTTATCTTTGGAAAAGGTTGTTGTTGATGTATGTTCTTTGTGAGCATGGTTTTATTCTTAATCCCAGTCACATGGATAGAAATCAGAAATCACCCCAAATTTTTTCAAAACTATCAAGAGACAAGACCCTTCGCCAATGGAGTTAATCATCTCTGGCATGATTCAAGGGGCATATTCTAACTTCAAATTCCTAAAGTCATAAGGAACTAATTCTGCAGAAAGTGAAAACATAAATGGAAGAGAGGTCATTTTTAAAAAATTGCATGTCTTATTTTTTTGTCTTAATAACTAAGCTTCATCGTAGCCATCCACTGAGCCCTGGCTGTTGTCTCAATCTTAAATATTCACTATCAGTGCTGTTGATTTTAATTTTTTTAACAGTCGGTAAGCATCAGAACTTGTTTCACATCTCTTCAATGTTCCATATCGTAAGTTCCCTGACTATTGCAGCTTTCTGAATGAGGTGGAAGGAAGGAAGTCTCTCAGATTGTGGTGCTGATATGTTAACAAGGTGACTTTGACCTCCAGACAGCAGCCCTAGCTGCACCCGCTCTTCCTACCACTGAGGCCTGGACAGCCTCTCCCAGCCTCCACCCACTCCTCTGGCTTATGTCTGGGTGGCCGAGGTGAACAAGCAGTAATTAGGGCCAACTGCCTTGTCCTTTCATTGCAGGTTACTAGTATTGGAATCTACTGCTCCAACAGGAGACCTCACTCGCCCCCACCACATGGCGTCAGTTGTTCCTAACCGATACCCTCGCTGGTTCACTTTAAGCCACATAGAATCCCAGCAGTGTGAGCTGGCATCCACCATGCTTACTGCAGCCAAAGGTATTGAATTCTCCTGAGCCCTCATAATTATTTTGTTAGCTTGCCATTTATTAAAGGGGTGGTGCTGTCCACTGAGCTCTCAGTAGGGGTGCTAGCGTTAGATGTACGTTGTAAAGGGTCCATCCTTTGGATGCTAGTGTATGAGGCAAACAGGTGCCACTCACACGAGCCTGGCACCTTCCTCATTTAACGACATCATTAAACTTCAGATGGCAGAGTTCTTTGCCGAGAAAAGGTGAGTGGCCATTGAGATTCAGAAGCAGATTGGAAAGTTAGATTACCTTTTTTCCTCCCTGAGATGTGCACCAAGAGTCGCAAGTCGAGGAGCTGTGTGCTGTCTCATGTTGTTGCTGGTTCGTAAGTGTTATTAGTCATTGAGGGGGGGGGTTGTGCAACAGGGACTCATAGCATAACATCTGTGCCATCTGCCAACATCTTGTGTAAACTAACCTGTTCTTTGTGTTGCTTTTCCCTGACCTCCTCCCTTTGGGTTCGTGTCTGTGTTGGGTTTGGGGTTTTGTTTTGCTTTGCTTTGACTTGGCTGGATTTGGTTTTCCCCTTGTTCACTGCAGGCGATGTTCGGAGGCTGGAAACAGTATTAGAATCCATCCAGAAAAACATTCACTCCTCATCACACATCTTCAAGCTTGCCCAAGATGCGTTTAAAATAGCGACTCTTATGGACAGTTTGCCAGACATCACTCTCTTGAAGGTGTCTTTGGAGCTGGGGCTGCAGGTACATGACTGGGCATCCGGAGAAAGATGTGAAGACTTTGTCTTTCCTGGGGCACCAGGAACTGTACCCCGAATTGATGGCACCCTCGAAGCAGGGGGTGGTTTGTTAGGACTTTTTAGTGCAGGCAAGTGACGCTTCAGAGTACAATTATGAGAGTACCAGGAGAGCGTTGTATTCAGCACTGTGGCCATTTCCAACTGAACTGGACCATTGCCTGAGATGTAGGGACTATATATTTAGAAGCCCTATTTAAGTGGTTTTGTTTGTTTGTTTTTGTAAAGAAACTTCCATTTCCTGAATTGTGACCTTAACATTATTGTTTTCTCTTTTGAATGAATAGAGAAGAATTATTACTAGCAAGACACCTAAGTAAATCCATTGTTTGTATGCACTAAGGATTCAGGTGTTAGGGTGAGGTCTTTAGCGAGAGTGTGGATTCTTATTGATGCTTGCATTTTTATAATAGATGGACAGTTCCAACGCCAGTTAAAATCCTAAAATTAGAGAAAGGGTCGAGTTTCAGCTTCCGGCAGGCCCTCATGGACATATTACCAAGAATAATCTGAATTTGTCACACTGATAGATAGCAGATTCTAGTTTCTAAGCAGATCGCTGTATAAGCCAGGAAGAAAACATTTTTTATGTCTTCTCTCCTAGAATCTGTAGTAATATTTGCTCTTTTATTTCCCCTCCACATAAAGAGGATGAAACAAATCACTCACATTCTAATTGTCTAAATATGGGGAGTAAAAATGACCTGATTAAATGATCAATCTGGTTTTCTAGATATGGACTCTCCCTTAGAATGATTAATAGTTTTTTTAAAAAACGGGTCACTGGAAATCTACTTACTATTATAACTAACATTCAGGATGATCTATGCAGAGGGTATAGGTGATTGCATTTAAGCTGTATGGTGATGCATTTTTTATGTTTCTCTTAAAAATGAAATTCTTATTTCGCTTGTTTTGGTGTCATGGGCCCTATCTTAAAGATATGATACAGAAAGAATCATTCACACAAGCTACGTGGTTTGAAATTTCAACCCAATGGCTGATGAGCAAAGAGTCCAGCCCTGCCTCAATTTCTCTAGGAGCCAGCAGTGACCCCACAGTTCTTTGCCAGGATTTACATAGTTTAAGTCTCGAAGAAGCAGGAAGAAGTGGATAGCTTTATCATGGGGCCTCTTATTAGGAAGTTTTAAAAAGCACATCAGATCACTAATGGTGGCACAGAAGCGTGCTTTCCATCAGCCCAGGGCTGCCTTCATCAGCAGGATTCAGAGATCAGCTAAGCAACCAAAGCAATGGCTTTAAAATAATTATTTTCCTGTTGAGACTTCCTGGTCAGAGTGGATTCCTGAGGAACCTGAGAAACCTACGGCCGGCTCATGTGAGAGCTGGGGAGAGGACAGGACTGTGGGAGGCTCGAGGCCAGCTCTCCGATTCTGCAGATGGGAAATTGAGGGGCCCAACCAGAAACCAGCGCTCCCGATTCGTAGGCTCTGGGGCAAGATGAGCTAGGGGAGCCATGGATGAATCTACGTTCACACACAGAAGTTTGCTCTAACCCTGGTATGCTTGTCCCATTGACTTCGGGTAATGCCCCGCGTTTTTTCCCCTGCTTTTATAGGTTATGCGAATGACACTATCAACCTTAAATTGGCGGCGCCGGGAGATGGTGAGGTGGCTGGTAACGTGTGCTACGGAAGTCGGTAGGTAAACGCTAAGAAGAAGGTTTTTCCCTTGCCTCGTGGTATGATTTAACATGCTAAGTACAGCTATGAGAACGTTTCCCTGTCTCCTCCAATCTCTCTCAAGCTTACAGCCCATTCTTCCCCCTCTGGTTATACCCCTTTTCCAAGCTGTCACATTGTGAGATTCCAACTTCTTGTTTGAATTGCATGAAATCAGTTAGCCCAAATATCCTACTACCTTTATATTCCATTTTTCTGTCACTCTGAATGTGATTTTAATAAGTTTTTGAGAGAAGAAAGGAGGTCCCATAGTCAGTCCTAAGGAGGTCCTGGTAGCATAGTGGTTACGCATTGGGCTGCTAACTGCAAAATCAGCATTTCCATCCCCCAGCTGCTCTGCCAGAGGAAGATGGGAGTTTTCTGCACTTGTAAGGAGTTACAGTCTCAGAAACTCACAGGAGGCAGTCCTACTGGGTCCTACAGGGTCTCTGTGAGTTGGCGTTGACTTGATGGCAGTGAATTTTTATAGGCAGTCCACGGTAGGTTGGGAACTACTTCTGAAATGAACTTGAGTGGGGATCACTAGTTTAATTCACTTAAAAAGCACTCTTTTAAATAATTGTTTTGTTTGATTCTGTGTTATGTTCCACCCTCATGTAAGAGATGGTGAGTATACGTCATATTATTCAGCAGGGCAGGGACCGCTGGGTATGGTTTAGATGAGCTTACAGATGTGGGAGAAATTGTAGCTGGCCATCAGAAGAGCCCCTGGTTGCCCATAAGCTACAATTTGTGAGGCCCTTCTGCCAAGTCTTTCCCCTCTGCAGCAATAAATCAGTACTAAAGAAAACCCTACAGCCCCAGCCACAAGGCCGACACAAACAAAATGTGGCCGTTAAAATAAGTGCCGTGTAGCTTGTCATCTTTTCGTCCTGTTCGCTGATCAGACGGTAAGATCTCAGCGTTTAGATATTGACACAGAACCCATAATGTGAAAGTCATTATGACTGTTTTTTTCTTGATGTGTGTTGGTTTGTCATTTTGGAAGAAGGGAGGTGAGTCTCGGAGTGTGTTAGCAAGGCAGTACAAAGAGAACACCATTTCAGACACTGCCCCACAATTCCCCCACCCTGCATCAAGATCTACGTCTCATTTCTCAGTCGGAAAGACCGCACCTTCCCTGTAGCTCAGTCATGTTTAGCATTGGCCCACAGCTGTAGCTGGCCGTAAGCGGCCGCTGGTCTGTTTACGTAGAATGGGTCTGACCAAGACCTTCCCGACCGTGCCCAACATCTCAGTCCTCTGTAGGTCTGCTTCTGTGGACTGTCTTCTCTCGAGGACATCACGCTGTCCTGCTGCTTATCATGCCTAAAATTCTGTCTCTTGTGTTCTGCTTGCTACGTTTACACATAAATCCACACACCAAATACAAGTGCCCTGTTTGGGTGAGGGCTGTAGTCCTCAACACAAGTTCTGTAGTGAGGAACTGGCTGGCGGCCCCAGTGAACTAGAACTCATTAGCAGAAACCCATTGTCTGAAATGGCAAGCAGCACAGTGCAAATACCAGCCGCCAAGAGGATTCGTTCTTTCATTACAGGAAGTTCATGTTCCATTCAGGCATCTCAGTGACTAACGATCTATAATAACCTTATTCTACAAGGCTGCTCCCAGGCCCATTACCTTACAGGATTCTGTGGCCTAGCTCATGTCCTATGATGGCTAACGATGTAAGCATTGATTATGCAAGTGGAAAGAAGGCAGGACCTCAGTCAGAGGGCTTGTTTGTGTTCCTTGCAGGCGTGTACGCCCTGGACAGCATCATGCAGAGCTGGTTCACGCTCTTCACGCCCACTGAGGCCACAAGTATCGTGGCGACCACCGTGATGTCCAACAGCACCATCGTCCGCCTCCACCTGGACTGCCACCAGCAGGAAAAGCTGGCCAGCAGTGCCCGGACCCTCGCGTTGCAGTGCGCCATGAAGGACCCTCAGAACTGCGCCCTGTCTGCGCTGACGCTGTGTGAAAAGGACCACATAGCTTTTGAGACGGCGTACCAGATTGTTCTTGATGCTGCTACCACCGGCATGAGCTACACGCAGCTCTTCACCATAGCGCGGTACATGGAGCACCGCGGGTACCCCATGAGGGCCTACAAGCTGGCCACCTTGGCCATGACCCATCTCAACCTGAGCTACAATCAGGACACACACCCTGCCATTAATGACGTTTTGTGGGCCTGTGCACTCAGCCACTCCCTGGGCAAAAACGAGCTTGCGGCTATAATACCTCTGGTGGTCAAGAGTGTCAAGTGCGCAACGGTACTGTCAGACATTTTGCGCAGGTGCACTCTGACCACTCCCGGCATGGTGGGACTCCACGGCAGGAGGAACTCCGGTAAGCTCATGTCACTGGACAAAGCTCCCTTGAGGCAACTCTTGGACGCCACGATCGGGGCCTACATCAACACGACGCACTCCCGACTCACACACATCAGCCCTCGGCACTACAGTGAATTTATCGAGTTCCTCAGCAAGGCCCGAGAGACCTTCTTGATGGCGCACGACGGACACATTCAGTTTACACAGTTCATCGACAACCTGAAACAGATCTACAAAGGCAAAAAGAAACTGATGATGTTGGTGCGGGAGAGGTTTGGTTGATGGAACTCGAATGAATGGGGGTGGGGGTGGGGGCGGGGGGACGGTTTGTTTTTACTTGAGCCTGCCTTTGTACCCTTTTTAACTTAAAGAACAGAGCCACACGGTATTATATGTGTATACTTATATCGCGTTTGCAGACTAAAGTGTCATGTTGTGAAAGCTCGTGTGTGTTTTCCCCGTTTCCTTTCTTCTTTTTTTCCTTTTCTCTGATTTCGTCCGGTTCTGTATGAGAGAGAGGTTAAAAAGGTTTGGTTTACACTGAGTATATGTTGTCAAGTGGCAAAAGCCCACAGAGCTCTCCTGTTTTCTGTATACGTTCACAGCCTCAAAAAATAATAATTGAAATGGCTTTAAAAACCAAACAGAACACCTCCATCCTGTGATAAGTACCTCGAATGGATTCAGCTTTACTCCTTTGTAACTCATCTTGGCATTTTCCGCATATTTAAACAAACCAACGAAAAACGAAATACTAGCAGTGAAAAGGCTGACCCACGTGGCTTTGCAGTGCTGACCCACGTGGCTTTGCAGTGCTGTTCGCCCAAAAGCATGGCACACGACGCTTGTGCATGTGGAAACTTAGCGACTGTCAACATACATTCTCAGGGATTTATCAAAAAAAATTAAAAAAAGAATGAGAGCATTTATTGTACTGTATATATATTATAGTATATGTCTGAATATTGAAAATATAACATTAACTAATTTATAAAAAAATATTCTATGTAATGCAAAATACTTGAAGCTGCAGTAGCTTGGTTTTAAACAAAAACATCGACAACAAGAAAGCTGAGGGAGAACCTAGTGGAAGGACTGGAAGTGCGCCTGGCTCCAGGGTTGGCTCAGGCGGTGAGCTGCATGCTGGGCCTCGATGCAGAGCCACCTTTTGGATTGCATGGTGGGCGCGAGATCTATTGGGAGAAATCATGTATGTATATATACTTATACGTATATACATGCATATGTATACACACGCACACACACCACCACCAACAACAACAACCACTACACCACACATGCTTGTAACAGTCACTAGAATAAAGAGGAACAACAAAACACACAGCCCGAGCGGCAAGCCTTAGCATTAAGAATATACAGTATGCCAGAATTTGGGGTTCGTGCCTCCTAGCCTAGGAAACTTTAAAGAAATATCCTTTTGACACAAAACGCAAAATGTTTTCCACAACAATTGACATGATACATTATGCCTTTGCAGTGAGCTAATAATAAGCTAACCTTGTGCACAAATAACATTATATATATTATATATCTATTCTGCATAGGTATTTTGACTTTGTGCAGGACAGAAAGTTGTGTCGGTATGACTGTTCTACTTTTCCGTTTTCTTCCTTTCTTTTCTTTGTCAAGCACATTTTGTTTTCTCTAGAATGACTCAAACAGAAGCAGCCTTCTATCTTGCCTTGTCTTAATGCTTTAAAATAACCAAACTGGAGGTCTAACTACCAAACTGTTCATTCTATTATTAAGTACCAACTTTGGTTACAGTATAGTGTCTTTACTTTAGCTGATGGTTCTGTAACCTTGTGCTTTTTAAAGCAATTTTTATGTTTTGGTGAAAAAGTCGTCCAGTGTCTCTTGTTCCCTTCATTAGAGAACATGCCAGAGGCATGTCTGTAGGGGTTTTGTTTAGAAGAACTACTTCATGCGCTCCACTTTATTTATTATAATAGTGAAAAGAAAAAAAAGGTTGGACTTCATCACCCATGTAAACATGCTCATGAAGTTGAAAGTAATTGAGATTTGATACACTGATATCAATTTATTTATGTAACTAAATCACTGTTTTATAAACTTGTTAATGATCAACAATTTTTGTTTTGATTAAAATTAGTTTTTTGAAAGTTGATTCTGCCTCCTTTATGATATCTCTCTTATTATACTTTAAACGGACGGGTAGAACTACATCTCTAATTGTTTAATGATGATAGATGCATGTTATAGTTATTATATCTAGTGTGTTCAGTATATATAGTATACACATGTAAGTATTTATTTACTGTCTCCCAGGCTCTGTACTCGGTACTGGAGCTCACTGTCCGCTTAGTAGAGAGGACAGATGTCCATCATCGCACATCAAATAGAACAGTCAAGTTGTCCTCAGTTTGTACACTTGCTCATTCCTCCCCAAACGAATCAATTAGGAGTTAAGGCGCTCAGGACTTGATACATTTAATAAATGGCAATTTTGTGAGAAGTTTCACTTTGTGGTTTAAAAAGAAATGGCATTTACAGGGGGTGCTGCTGCATAGACACTATATGCTGTCTTTTCCCACCCTGTCACCGTCCAAGGTGATGTGGTATGTATGTAAAGCGATGCAAACACTGATTTTTAAAGTTTCTGTGTTTAGAATGCTCACTCTCTTGAAGTTTTAAGTTTCTTTTGACATCTGAGTCTGTACCAATAAATTCCAAATGTCAAGAGGTTAAATCAATAGGTGGAAGCTACATAAGCGAGTCCGTAGTGACATTTTAAGATCCCTTTAATGCTGAGTAAAAATAAAAATCAGAACTATAAAATGCAAATTTACTTGTAGTTTTTTGAAATTGATATCACCTAAGGGTATCAGTTGATGTGGCTCTGTAGAAACACTGAGCCGTTTCATTAGAAAGTAGGCTGGTAAAAGTCGGGGGTGGCCACTTGTGTTAGGAGCATCAAAAGGAGAAGAAAAGTAGTTTCCAGCGAAGACTGAGATCTCATCTTTTTTTTTTTTTTTTGACTGAGATCTTTTCTGATGGGACATTGTGTGCTGCTCGTTGGCCACCTGTGTGCAGTGAGGGCTTACGAACAGAGATGGAGACTAAGGACGATGGACCAATGACCTTCCTTCCTCAAACCCTGTTAGATAACATTCTTAATCTGCTGTGCCTTCAACTCCTTAGTCCTAACCATGGCCAAGTGGAAAAAGGGATTGATTGATTTGATCTTCCTTCCATGGGCTATTGCTAGAATAAGCCCTTCATTAGTTACAGCATGAACAAGAAATGGAAGAAACGTTAAACCTAAGAAATTCAAAGACAACAATTTCCTCTTGGCTCACCAGGGTCTGGGGTATAGAATTCTGTATTCCACTGCTTTGGGGTGGTGATTTCATTTGGCAATACGAGTTATAGCATACAGGCTGGGGGGGCGGGGGGCGGAGCACGGAATGAATGTTTAATGACTTTCAAATATTAACTCAGTTGGATAGAAAATCACTGTTGTCACAATAAGAACCGAACTTTTCCTGAATTGTTAAAAAGAAAAAAGAAAAACTAATGGCAGCCATTTCCAGGGGAACGTAGGAAAAACATTATCCTTACATCGTCTGAACATTTTATAGTACAAGAAATGTCTAAGATGGAAACTTTAAAAAAAAACTACACTAGTATGAGGGTCATCTCAAGTACTTGGATAAAAGAAAAGTAAAAATCCTGAGTGTTTCATCAGACATTTTTTGTTTGCCTTCCACATGTTCGGTATTGTTTTCTGGGCAAAAAAACAAATTCAAAGCTGAATGCCCATTCTCATGGAGCATCTAGTCTTGGCGGGAGAGGGACACATGAGTAAATACTGCATTAGTTTGTGATGGGTGGCGTGAGGAAGAAATGAAGCGCAGGGTAAGGTGGGATGGCTATAGGACGAACGGCCGGCCGGGGAAGCCCTCTGCGATGTGCTGAAATAGGAAGTGAGAGAGCAACCCTGATGGTATCTGGCAATTGTGTGTCTCGGGTGGGGATGGGGGAGGAGGTCTGGGAGCAGCCAAGAGGCTAGTGAAGTGGGTGGGGGCAGTGAGGCAGATAGTTTGGCTGAAGTGCTGCAGGTTGCTGATTCACTAGGGGCTTGTAGGTCAGGGGAGGATGTTTACTCTACTTGAAGGGTCCCAGGATGAGGAGTCACGTGATCTGACCTACAAGTCCATGAAAACCCATTTACTGGCTCCTGTGTGGTTGGAGCGTGAGATGGAGGCCAGCAGACAAATGCAGCTGAGAGGATGATCCGGGCCGGCCACGATGCGCCCGTAGCTAGTGGGGCCGGTGGAGATGGCGGCAAGTGGTGAGATTCAGCCGATCTTGGAAGGTCTAGGCCTTTGTGAGACTTAGAGTGGGTGGGATGTGAAAAAGTGTGGCGTGAAAAGTGACTCCGATCTCTGAATTGAAACCACCAGAAAAAGTTGCCATTCACGGAAATGGAGAAGATCGTGGAAAGCAAGGCTTTTGGGCAGATCAAGAGTTTAGCTTTGAGTGTGTCACGTGCATGACGCCGGTAACACCCACGTACAGCTGTCAGGTAAGACGTTTCAGGGCTGCGTGTCAACACTAGGGTTCTTTAGATTTTCATGTGACCATGAGACAAGGGGTGGGTGAAACTACTTCAATCCCAAACAGCAAGTCCTGAAAACGGTCCTTTCCCTGCTCAGTGTTGCTGGGACAGACCCTTGCTAGTTCCTCCCCGTCCTCCGGGCCTCTAACTAGTGGCTCCATCTGGTATTCAGCCCTTCGTGCCTTCTCGCCTTATTCTTCTCTCATTCTCTTACCCTCTCCCATTATTTCCATCATTCTATGCCTATTCTAGTCTTCTGTTTCTCCTCTTCAAGGAAGACCTAAAGGTAGGGGGCGCATGGTAGGCAGCACAGGCATGGCCAAGCAGGGGATCCCTATTTATTGGAGGGAGCAGAAAAAGGAGCATTCCATCTATGTAACGGTCTTAGTCCCCTAGTGCTGCTGTAACAACAACAAAGATGACACAAGTAGATTGCTTTAACCACCCCCAGCTGACTCCCCCAGCTTGCGGGTCCTGACTATTCTCGCCTATTTCGGCCTCTGCTTCTAATTCTTGGTGGCTGACTTGTAGTCAGGCCCTTCCCATGGTGTCTGCCGCCTCCTGACACGGATCTGTGTTTGTTGTTCTTAGAAGATTCCACCTGAATTGATTAGTTTTAGGACCCACCATATACGGCTTCATTAGCACGGCAAAAGAACACCCCCGGTTCCCAACAGGATAACACAGACAG